GCTACATTCTTTTACTCATCTAAACTATGTGAGGATAGGCGTTTCAGAAAATGGATGGCTTTATGGATGGATGGATGGATTTTATAGCACTCGTGGTGCATTATCTATTTTAACAAGTATTAAATAAAAGATCAATTTTTTGGAAAGGCAAACAACTGTCCACAGTCTGCCATGCCTATAGCTTTATTTCGGGCTTCTGTGCCCTTCATTTAAAACCACACATTGTTGTCTGATGCAGTGGAAAAAATGAGTCATACTGAAGTGTGAGTTACAGTATATGCATCTGTCCACAAATCAGTTCACCGTGTTATTAAAAATACCACTATATGTGACCTGTTAAGCGATGTAGTTGGGGGGGGGGGGCACAGAAAAATTATAATGAGCCAGTTTATATGGAGAATACAGCTTATAATAAATAGCTTTGGTTGTCCCACTGCTTTTGTCCTTTTCCTGCCGTTATGGTGTTCTCATTTCTGTCTGTGCACACTGTACTCTCTAACAATGCTGTCTCACACAAATTGCTCAATCGGACTGAAAGCCTGCCTGTGTTCAAGAAACATACAAACATGCACATAGCAGCTGAATCCTTCGGTAAATACAATCAATAAGATTTGATCACAGCACATTCATCTATCTTACAAAGCAATGGCCCTACAACAAAACTATCTTAAAATTCTGAAACATTTTAAATTATCTATCAAATGTGGTTTGATGACAAATTCGAGATACACTTAACAGTCACAACATTACGTACACACGTGTATAACAATGTCTGTGCATAATAATAACTAGTGTATAACAATGCTCTTTTTGAATTGATACAAGGTCCAGATTTTAGGACATATGCATTGTTTCATTGTGGAGGTTGTTTGCAGTGGTGTAGAAACTACACTGCATCACACTTTACCACAGAATTGAATAGAATGTAGTTCTGGAGTTTTCACTGCAATTCTGCACTATAGGTGTGCAGGGTTTATAATATTTATCAAGGATTTTGGTTTTTTTTTTAATTCTGAATTTGCCTATCACAGTAAGCAATCAGGGAGGAAGCTGGTGGGAGTCTAACTCAGATGTGAACTCAATTCCAAGCTCAGATATTAGGTCTGGAGCTCTTCAGTTATTTTCGTTCTGAAACACTTGTCGACAACTACCCAAGTAGGTAACAAACATATGACAAACACTTCAAACACTATATATTGAGGTTATAATTGTCATGCATGTTCACTTCCACTTTGGATTTTGTGCAAAGGCATCTTAAAAAAAACAAACAAATAAAAATAGATTCATGATCTAAAGAAGGTCAAGTTGAGAGGGATTTTAGTTTAAATTACTCTGTGTGCAAAAAAGACAAACTTATAAGGTCATATCGCATGAGTAGTAGTTTGCAGCTGCACCAATCGAAGACAAGTTCAAGTTCAAATGCAAGAATAGTCCACTGTCACACTGTCATTCAGAGCAATAAACAAACACTGCAACATATGTGAGCGTTATGCATGGCAAGGCTTATTAGGTCTGTCTGGTGACTACAAGAAATAAGAGGAAAATATTTTGGGGGGGGAAACATTTGAGATAATGCCAATATAAGTGAGCGCCAAACTCAATGTCTTTCATCAAAAAGGCAAATGATTATACGTACTGCAAAACAGCAACTTTTGTTGCAGTATCATTGTGAACAGAGACTGATCAGCAGAATGAGTTAAAAAATAGGCTGGATTCAACACCCACTGTAATGTAATGTCGGTGGAGTATATTTTATCGAACAGTATGGGCCAAGTTTAAACCCTTTGAATAGTAAAGCTCCTGTCCAGCATGGCTGCCCTCCAAAAGCAATACAGTACAGTGGTGAACGCTACAGAAAGCTAAGGGACTACTTCCCACATGTTCAGAATATTCATTACTGTTAATGAACTGGAAAATGTTATGGACCTTTTTAAAAGTTAGTAGAAGAAGGCAAACATCTTTCGGTATAAAAACGAGCACTCTAACAACCATGTCAACACAAAGGTTTTTAAGAGTAACAAGAGTAAACAAAGGTGACTGTCACAGCGACAGATGACAGGATGAGACAGAGATAAACTGAGTGTCAACAATAGAGCAAATGTGGGTAACTGTCCATATGTCAAACATGTAGCTTACCAGACAGCAATTCAAACAGCACAAAGACAGCAATGTACTCACTCATGTTGCCTTAAGCCTGAACAAAAACCTTGAGCCCTTGACCTATCACATTTTCCACAAGTAGCGACAGAGCAAGGACACAAAAGACTCCACAGTCAGAGAAGAGAGAGAAAGAACATTGGGAGGGTGAGACAGGAAGTGCAAGGCAGAGGGTGCAAAAAAAAAAAAAAAAGGCAGAACGGCACTGCTTGGAAGAGCCATAGGAAGTTAAAGGGAGAGGGAGGAGTGAAGAGGAGAAGAGAGCTGAACTAAACTGGTTCACCATGCCTCACATGCCAATGACGAAATGCACATGGACCGCCCCGCACTCGCGCTCTCTCTCTCTCTCTTGCTGTCTCTCTCTCCCCGCAACTAGACTTTTCCTACTCGTCACACAAGCTGCAAACATTTTGCTCACCAAAGCATCAGATTTTGAATGAGTACAATTGTCACTTTGTGTGGTTCGAATGCCTATCAACAAGCATTTGTATTTATTTTTAATCTTTTCCAATACTCATTTGTTTAATTTCAGCGAAACATTTATTGACACGAGAAAACCGATTTGAGTTCCTAACAGATGGCAAAACTAATATCCTACAATTGTTTTTCACAACAAATGAAGGAAAAAAAAAGCCATCAGTGTGATGTTAATTGTATACACCAACACGGTTACATGTGATAATGACTTGTGAAATTCATTTCAAGAACATTGTCCAAAATCCAAGACCGTATCAAATGTTGAAAATGCATCACTCAAACTGAAGTAATTGAATTTTACATCCTAGGAAGGGAATCATCAAGAAAATGCCATTTTTATTTCTGTGCTCGTACAAACTGAGAACCGCTCACATCAAACATTAAAGCATAATGGCTTCTCCATTAAGCTCTGACTGTTACAGTTGGTGAGCAAGTCCGCAGTTTAGATTATGTTTGTCTACTCGAATAACTGTCTCACTGAAGTTCTGTTTCCCCCTGCCCTCACCCACCCAGCATCCTGGAATTACTCAACTAAGTTACTCAAGTCTTTGCATCACAGTTGGCTGGTTACTATGGCGAATGAAGCACACAATCAAGCATGACCCACAGCAAATGTGATTCAGCTCTTGGGTGTTTCTCAAGGTTGAGATGAATTATTCACACTCAACAAAAACGTTTTCCACCAGCAAGCATCCAAACAAGAAACACTAAAGGAAAAAGAGGAGCAAAAAAGTGAGGAAAAAAAACAAACCCTAGGAAAAATGTGAAACGCAATATGTGGGGAAAAAAAATGCTGTTCGTTTTCCCCTGACAAGTTAAGATTGCCTAGATACCAGTAGATGGCAGCAGTGCCTTTTGCTACATTCCTGCAATGTAATGATTTACAGTGGTCTCTGAAAGCCATTGGGGAAAAGGTGAGATTGGTTTTCACAGTACTGCAACTGTAAAACTATTATTGCTAGTAGTAGTAATAATATCTGGTTTAATCCACAGATAATATGGCATTTACATTGCTCAACAAATGAAGACTCAAGTTAAAGAACATCTCAAGACCTAAAACAAGATCAGTGACTGAAAAGCAACCATCTGTCAATCACTGAGTAAAAAACATTCGTACCCAGACCAATCTACTCCTGTCGCATCCCCTCATGTACATTTTTGCAGGGGATCACAAGACTGCGAGAATGCTAACCAAAGTAACCATTGTCTTATACTGCATTTCTTTTTGATACACTACATTTGAATGCATTTGTTCTGAATGCACCGTGACAATGATTAGGTCAAGACCTCAGTCCCAAAACATCTAACAATGAGGACGAGGTTGGACAGGTATGGTGCAAATTACTGGACCCACTCCAAACCTCAATCAATAACAAGCAGCAAATGTTTCAACTTTTGCCCCGACTGTGATGTGGAAAGCAATGGGCCAAAACAGTGTGTTTCCAAGGTGGATTGTTATTTCAAATAATAAGAGGAACTGACCTCATGGTCAAGGGTGGTGCATTGGGCGGGCCTTATCCTGTAGGTTGTGTGCAGAAACAATCCTTCACAGTCCACATTTCTAATGAAGCTATTTTTAGATTAGATTCTGTGTAAGTGCTTGTATTGTCCCCTCCATGCTCCATCCGGACTGCAATAACAGAACTGGTTCACAGCCATTTATTTTTTAGATGTTCAGCTGAGGCCTGAGAATCAATATCCATTACCATGTCATGCGACACATACTCTGCTGTTCCTATTTAGACTGTTGAAACAGGAGTGCCAAAGCGAGATATTGGCAGGCTAAGGTCCCCTAGTGCGCCTTTAGTAACAGGATGTGACATTACGACAGGGTCCCACTGAGGGACACTTTCTCACAGTATATGCTTCTCAGCTTTCAAAGATGCAGAATTACAGGCTGTGGGCTGATAAACACTCAAATAACTTCAATGTGCAGCTTCAATAATGAACTGATGAAGCTAAATGGACCTTAAGAAAGGAAATATTTGTGACTGTTAAAACATATTCATTTATCATTTGCTGATTGAGTGATACTAAATGGGCTGCAGTTTGTTTGGCCTCCAAAGTGCAATAAAACAATCATGCAATATTACCAGTAATGGTCTCGGCATCCCTGTAGACGACCAGAAACCTATCGAGCGAAGACTGCAGCCGTGCCTCGCTGACATACTCTTCTTCCTCTTTCTCCCCGTCGTCGTTGACCAAATGGATCCCTGGCTTAGCTATCTGCTGAGAAAGTTTTTCTGGGGATGGGGTGGAGGTATAGGAACAGGTGTGGGGAGGAAGAGTCTTCGGGTCCAGCTTGGCACTGAGTAGCTACCACGATAAAGAAGGACCAGCCATGGACAAACTCAAGCAGCACAAAGGAAAAGCTAATTTAGATTTAGTCTGATGTAACAATAAAACTAGTGCAGGAGACCACACAACCATGACTGGAGATACGAAAGTCCAACAGTCACTGCCTGTAAACCTGAAAGAGAAGGAAGGACAAAGGAGAGAGAAAGCTGTGGTTAACTTCCATTTTAGATTACAATGCAAAAAAAGTGTCTTCACTCAACAACACAATAACTATAAATGCACACCCATAGAGCCACTGAAGATGTCGTGGTCACCTGGGTGACATCGATGCAGGCAGTGAGGGTTCAGTTCCCACACAGTGATGGTGTGAATGTGATGTAAAAGGTTGTCTACTCTCTATACAGTACGACATTTGCCCTGTGATTGACTGCTAATCAGTCCATTTTTTTGCCCAAAGTCAGCTGGAATAGGCTCCAGGTCCAGGTGACCCTAAACAGGTCAAGCGGTAGAAAAAAAGTGGGACAGCTCGAAAAAGAAATGGTCATAAATTACCATATTGTAGCTTACCGCACATGAGTGAATATGACCTTAACCTTTGGTGGCTAAAAACGCTGAAAATGAATTTCAGACATCTGGCTAAAATTGGCCATACAGTATCCCTCGCGATGACAAACCGTGTCTGAGTCATTAACAGAAACACCACTCATCAAGTAAATAATTGCAGTGATAAAAGGTCTTAAGAGTACGCAGTTGGCTTTTGTGGTGAATATATGAACAAAAAAAGATAACATCAAAGTTGGAGAGGAATCATAACTAACTGCTGTACATATAAGGGATATCAGGTTTCTGCTGTGGAAAGTAGCAAAATGGCTGCTAAATTCCATTACTTACTCCAAGGACTTTCTAAATGTTTTCGGTTAATCATTTAGCCCCAGTGTATATTATGACAGCCTTCAATAGCTAAGGTCAACAGGAGAGAGAATATCTAACTAAATCCTGTGGCCAGGGAGTTGTTCTACCGCTAAGCACTGCGCTACCTCATGGACAATTGATTGACACACACACACACACACACACACACACACACACACACACACACACACACACACACACACACACACACACACACACACACACACACACACAAACTGATGCATTCACAAGCATACCAAAACAGTACCAGTAGACAGCGGAGTACTATAATATACAAGTTATATCCATGCCGAGCGCCATGGCACTAGTTTTCCAAGAACTCACTGGCTGGAAACAGGTGTCCTGAATATGAAGGGAGCTAATATCAACTGCAATCTGACAAACTAGTGTTCTGACAATCCAGACAGGTCTTGGTCTCGAGAGCAGTCTCGACACCACATTTTGGAGGTCCTGCTCCCGTGTCAGACTTGACTCCCAAAAGTCTTGGTCTCAGACTCTGGGTTTTCCGTTAAAACCAGTGGAGACCAGCACAGATCTGCTATTCTTCAACTTCATAAATGTGATAATGAGGAGAACCACTTGGAAAAAACAATGAATACTGTACCTCCAGTTATTGTGTTACTAACCCTCCTGTAATGACTGCAACCTTTGTGTTGGTGTGTGTGTGTGTGTGTGTGTGTGAGGGGGGGGGGGGTGTAACCTTTGGTGGCTAAAAACGCTGAAAATGAATTTCAGACATCTGGCTAAAATTGGCCATACAGTATCCCTCGCGATGACAAACCGTGTCTGAGTCATTAACAGAAACACCACTCATCAAGTAAATAATTGCAGTGATAAAAGGTCTTAAGAGTACGCAGTTGGCTTTTGTGGTGAATATATGAACAAAAAAAGATAACATCAAAGTTGGAGAGGAATCATAACTAACTGCTGTACATATAAGGGATATCAGGTTTCTGCTGTGGAAAGTAGCAAAATGGCTGCTAAATTCCATTACTTACTCCAAGGACTTTCTAAATGTTTTCGGTTAATCATTTAGCCCCAGTGTATATTATGACAGCCTTCAATAGCTAAGGTCAACAGGAGAGAGAATATCTAACTAAATCCTGTGGCCAGGGAGTTGTTCTACCGCTAAGCACTGCGCTACCTCATGGACAATTGATTGACACACACACACACACACACACACACACACACACACACACACACAAACTGATGCATTCACAAGCATACCAAAACAGTACCAGTAGACAGCGGAGTACTATAATATACAAGTTATATCCATGCCGAGCGCCATGGCACTAGTTTTCCAAGAACTCACTGGCTGGAAACAGGTGTCCTGAATATGAAGGGAGCTAATATCAACTGCAATCTGACAAACTAGTGTTCTGACAATCCAGACAGGTCTTGGTCTCGAGAGCAGTCTCGACACCACATTTTGGAGGTCCTGCTCCCGTGTCAGACTTGACTCCCAAAAGTCTTGGTCTCAGACTCTGGGTTTTCCGTTAAAACCAGTGGAGACCAGCACAGATCTGCTATTCTTCAACTTCATAAATGTGATAATGAGGAGAACCACTTGGAAAAAACAATGAATACTGTACCTCCAGTTATTGTGTTACTAACCCTCCTGTAATGACTGCAACCTTTGTGTTGGTGTGTGTGTGTGTGTGTGTGGGGGGGGGGGGGGGCAGAAAATGCTGCATCTTTTCTTCAATGCAATTACGTTTTTTGCCAAACCTTCATTTAAAAATCCGTGGTGATTTATTTTTTACAAGAACTTTAGAACATTTTTTTGGGCTCTCAAATGCATTAAAACAATATTAAACTGAAACCAAGAATGCCTTGTGCAACGTTGCCATGGTTTTTAAAAATTACTTTTTTATGGCCTTGGCCTTGTCTTGGTCTCTGTTTGTCACAGTCTTTGTCTTGTCTCTGTCTCAACTCCCAAAAGAGTCTTGGTCTTGGTTAGATCTGGTCTTGAGCAAGTCTTTATCTTGGATGGTGTGGTCTTGAGCACAAAAGTACAACATACTGACTGAACATATATAGAATAACTTTACCTAAAATAGCCAAGTTAGCAAATATTCCTTCCTGCCTTTGCTGGACTGTTTCTAGATTGTGTTCATATTGAAACAAAAGCAATTCTCGATGAGAAACAGTAAATTTGAAGGGTTTTTTTTTTTTGTGTGTTTTTTTTTTGTAATTGTGTTTTCTGTTGTATATATGTTGGTCCTGTGGCTTCGTTTTGCAAAGCATTTAATAAAAATATACAGCAGCAGATTTTAAATTTTCTCCAGGCAAGCCTTTCCTCAATCATGACATTCACTCAAAACTTGCAAATCTAGTATTTTGACTTCAATTGAAACATTTAAAAGGTAGTACCATCTGTAAATAAATATTGCATGTCTTGCTTGTAGATGATAGTCATGTGCGTGAAATTAGTGAACAGCCGCTATATCCTATGGTGAGACAACCAAATCCAAACAGGCAATTTATTGATAAGCCAGTGCCCATAGTTCTAACACATCAGCCATTTGTTGTAACTATGACAATCAATATGTAAATTCACAGCACCGTGTCACCATTCAGCTTTTTCGTAGAGCTTGGCACTGCTTCTGGGAAAAATAGCCCACGTCTGCACTCACGCTTTCTGTAAAGCTGATGTGAAGCAGCACTTTGAATAGCGGTAGCACACAATACTCCTGCCTTTAAAAACATCTGACACCATTTTTACTGACTACCTAGAATCTGTGGCTCAACAAACGTGGGGTAGACCGTAGCCACTCTTTGAATGTTTGTTGTGAAGACATTAAAGTGAGAATTCTTGCCAGAGAATCAAATGCTCAAAACATATCTTAGAAACTGTGTAGTTACTACACAGCCGCAACTGCAGCCTGAGCAAACGATAGCAGTGAAGAAGTTAATGTAACGAGTCATAGCTAAGCTCTTGGCCAAACTAAACGCAAGAACACCCCGCGTATGAGCAAGTCTGCAACTGACAGGCTGACAAATGTTCTTGTCAAGTGCACAGCGATAAACTGCAGGCCGGAAAGCATCGTTAGAGAAGAGGGATTAACAGAGGTGTCGCAAACAGCGTCCTATGAAACATCATGCAAACCACAGTGTGGGACTACAGCGATGACCAAAACTAGCAAAATGTATGACGGCAAAAAGAAAAACAAACTTGACATTTTAGTGGAGGGTGCGCCCAACTTTTCTGTTACAACAAAATTGCTGGATCTCAACTGGCAACCACAGCTATTTAGGAATGACCTAAATAACATTATTTACATATCATTAACAGTACTTTATTGATGGTAAGTGGCACCTCAACCCATTTTGCACTGATCGTAGCGAAAACACAAACCAGGCACTTTGCTACTAAATACGGCAAACAGTTTCTCCAAGTGTCAAATGACTGGAAATTGAAAACAACATATCCATCACAGATACAGATACATGCAGTACACTCAGACAGCGCGGCAAACTGCTGGCTGGTCTGAGAGCCCTCCTGTACGAGCACATTGCCGATTTCCTTTTCCTCCATCAGTCTGCCTTGATTGCAATGGGGGTTGCACTAGCCAAGTGCCGCAAGATAATGAGCCATTTCAAACAAAGCCGGAGAGTACCACAGAAGTTAACTAGCGACAAATAGCAACTGGGAAAAAAAAAGAGTGAGCAATTTGCAATAACAATATATTTAAACAAAAAATACCTCTTGGTTTCGTGTTTTTCTCAGCATTTTTAAGTGAGATTAAAAATATATTAATTAGAACAATTTATTACAGATCATAATTAATTTTTGTTGTACTAAATTGATGACAGTTGGCTTCGTCGGCGGCACTGGCGGTTGCCTATAGCGGGTGACATTTGCTGACTGAACGTTTTCAGAGATTCAGATGTCTCCTAAAATAATTTTTTCTTCATACTGTATACACGTATTTGTAAATGACATGTTTATACTGTACTACATGTTCATGTTTTTACATTTATAAGCCGATCAGAAAATGGATGGATGATTAGGGTAACCTCATGTGTTCCACGATTGTCTGGCTAGAAAATTAACACCAACTTGTGCGAAGATGTTCATTTTTGGGGTTTTTATTTTTTTTATTTTATCCGATTAAGATCTCATTCATTGCTATGTATTCCGATACCCATAGGAATAAATAGTTACCAGTAGTTAGTTTTCTTTGTGACTACCTTCTCCAATTCCTATGTAGAGTAGAAAATAAACATGTACATAAAAACTTGATTGTGTACTAAGTGTGTGTTTGAAGCAAAGTTGTTAACCTTTAAGCTGTAAAACTAAGTCAAAACTCTTCAAATGTATCAACTTTCTCATGAAAAGAATGCTTCTTCATTGTTGACACTTGGAAAAATTATCCAAAAACTGGCATGGTACCCCTGGAGGCATTCAAGATTAGTGCAGTCATTAAACTCGAGTTGCCATCACTTAATTAAATAATTAATTGAGCACACTTATGTTACAGTTGAGAATTTCAATTGTGGGAGTAATGAGCTCGCCACAGTAAGCGTAGAAACAGATGAAGCTTTGCCAAGGTAATTATCGTCAGCAACACACCCAACAGACCTGTGTTCAGCCATTTATGATTGATTGGAACACCAGGCATGCATGTGTCCTTGGTTTTAGACATGTAAAAATTTTTAAAAATGTTTTAATTTACATTTTTAACCACAAACCACTCTTGTTGTTTAAGTCTAGTGCCTAAAATGACTTCCCTTAATTTATCTGTTATAGGAACCTCATGTAAACGGCCTATGTTTCTTACATAGCAAAAGTCTAACAGTCAATTAAATTTTTTTTAGAATCTCTCACCAACCATCCATCCATCCATATATTATACAAGCCGCTTATCGTCACAAGGGTCGCGGGCGTGCTTTAGTCTATGCCAGCTGCCTTCAGGCAGTAGGTGGGGGTAGACCCTGAACCGGTTGCCAGCCAATCGCAGGGCACACAAAGACTAACAACCATTCACACTCATAGTCACATACAGGGACAATTTAGAGTATTTAATTAATTTATCATGCATGTTTTTGGAATGTCGGAGGAAACTGGAGTATTGTGAAGTGGACATCCTAACCAGTGAACCACCGTGACACCCAGTTATATTTTCTCAAATGCAAGATTCTCATGTTCCTACTGGAACAAATGTCCAAAAGAAAAAAAAAAAAATCACATGTGGTCATTTATACCCATAGTCAGGACCGCATGAATTTTGTGATTTCTGTGAAAAAAAAATTGAAATGTGGCATTATAAAATCGTAACCATTAAAATTAGCCTAAAATAGCTTGAATGACCCTATTGTTGGAAGCCAAAGCGCATCAGTATTCAAATACATGTGCTCTAAATGTCTCCACAGGAAGTTGATAAAAAGATGATACAAAGCAGATTGACTTGTATGTAAGCGTCCAGAAAGTCATAAGTCCAGTCAGACAAAACTTCCAAACAAAATTCAGCAAATGGAGCCTCGATTCCTTTTTCAAGCAGAACAAATGTTATGATACAACCAACACCATTTTGCATATGGATTACCAATAGTTCCAGGTGCACTGTAAAACATTACCAGTCATAATTGATTTCTTGTCTTTTTAACACAAACCATTATGTGCTCAGTCGCACACTTCTTGATGTGGTTGGTCAGTTATATTATTGTGTTGTAACACGATTACCTACAAATCAATGAGATTTCTTATCAGTGGCCACATGCAGCATTTAACAAACAAAACTTGACAAGATAATTTGCATTGAATATGTGCTGGCATGACCATACATACAGTGCAGTTGGTCCTTGACCAGCAACATATTTGCCTTCTTGTAATCTTACTGCCACCCAAAACGGAGATGATAGTGAGCAGATGTTTCATGGATCATGTGATATTGACAACAAATAAACTGAAGCCTCATTTAGCTTCTGGGCGGTCCAAGACAATCTCACCATTCTAGAATTGCTGAGGTCATTTATTCCTTCAAACTTTCAAAGTACAAACAATTTAGATATAATGTGGTGTAATCCAGCCAATGTCTCTTTCACACTAGTGTTGAAACTTAAATAGAATTAATTTTTAGAAAAATCTGATCGTAGAAGTATTTCATCACTGCAATTTAATATGGTGTCCAACAACCTGAAATGACTGATTGAAACGTTAACCCTTCAGCTACAGACTGCTGTACGGTACGGGTCACAAAAGGTTTCACTTGGGCGAGATGACCAAGTTGAAGATGAAGTTGCTTGTCATAAGAAATGCCACAGTATGTTTTTTTTTAACTGTTGAAAATGCAATTGAAATCACTCATTCAATGTATGCCAGTACATTGCCGTTATCGCTCTGTAACTCTCAGGAGGCCAAATGTGGCGTTAAAAATGTAATTAAAATCACTCATTCAATGTTTGGCGTGTACATCGCTGTTATCATCGCTCTGTAACTCTCAGGAGCCCAAATGTGGCATTTTGACCGCAGTGCATTTTGCACCTGCTCAACTTTGAGCGAATTATGAACAAACTTTATAAGAAAAACATTCAATGACACACACGCGACTTTTTACCTACCGTGTTTGGAAAACAGCTCAGATATAAAAGGACGTATTAAATCCCTTTTGTCTTCCGATAACTAAAGTTTGGAAGCGTTAAATTCCATTGAGGAAACAGCAAGGAGAAATGATTAGTTTATCGCACTCACTTCAACTTGAGAAGCCTCTCAAAGTAACAACATCCATGAGTAATTCATTACAACACAAACAACTAAATTCCTTTTGCCGTAGTTAAATTAATGTTAACTTTAGCCTGCTTGCTCCCAGTTTGTCTGCCACCGCCGTAAAACGTTAAATGGGAACAAAGCCCCAGGAGGACCAGCACCAAATGTGTCAAACATTAAGTGATGACATGGACTTCCTTGTTGGTATTTTCAAAATAAAATATTCAAAATTCAATACTGTAATAATCTCAATTCATCTACCTATATGCTCATGTGTAGTTGTACAGTAGACAGTATATTCCTGACAGTTTCAGATGTCAAGTTGTTTATAAAGTATTCCGTATTAAAATATGGTTACCTAAGTACCAAAATGTATAATACCACTGGCGATTATGACTTCCGGGCTAGTCGTGAACGAGCAGCTTTCGGTAAACTTTTGCATTGTAGGGCGGTGCTGTAAAATGTTTAATTCATACAATGTGATTGATGTGAGAGAAACATTTTCTTTGATCACTTGTTGATATGATTCAAACAAAACCGTTTACATTCTTTTTCTGTCAACATGCAGACATCAGCATAATGAAGAAGTGGCAAAAGTACAAGTACCCACGCTGTGGACATTCAGATTCAAAGTTTCGGTCTATTTTATATAATACTGTAATCATTTTGATAACTTGCCATAACACAGGTTGGCAGTTTGATCCCCGGCCATTGCGACCATGTCGAAGTCTCCATGAGCAAGACACTTATTTTCTTTATTGAACAAGTCAAATTACAAATCACAGAAAATAAAAACCAAACAAACATTACAGTAGAAGATATACAGTATTTCCATAAATTTTCCGTTCCGCTTATCCTCACAAGGGTCGCAGGCAGTGGCGGGCCGTGCATTTCAACCTTAGGCCTTCAGTGACGTCACATACATGAACACAATACTGTATAGGCTCGTCAAGCAGCACTTAATTTCAGGAGCATTTAAAACCATCAAGTATGCATTCACAATTAAGAGCAGGAAACTAAATTTACAGATAGTCAAAAATAAAAAGAATGCCACCCAAATTACGCTGTGTGATCTTAAACAAGTCTGTCCAATAAATTGTGCAATGTGGCAGTTTCATATAAGACACTAACCAAACAATAACAAAACAAACTATTCTTTGAAAATAAACAGATCATTTGCATTTTGAAAATCGGCGATACAACAGCAAATAACCGAAAATGTTGAGCAGCTGAGATTGAACGAACTTTCGTGCACGAAGGTGACTACAATGCGCCATTATAAATTGCAGGTGAGCAGATTTATTCGATACATTTTTGTATCTTTGTCATTTTATTTAGTTACCATGAATTTAATACTAACGAAATAAAATGACAAGAAGAAATGTAAAATAAAATTCATTGACTCACCAATGTAGTTCTCCACAGCGTCTGCTTATTTGAAAATAAATAAAATAATCCTTTCTTTTCTCAGGAACACTTCAGTGGCTCTGTTGTACAGTTTTCAGGTCCAATAGCAAGTCCTTTTCTATCGACATGGAAGCTAATGCTGAAAGCCGTTTTTGTCCGGTCGTGTTTCTGGTATAATTTTAATTTCCCGATTTTTTTTTTTTTTTTTTTACTTTTTCGTTGTTGAGCTCCGTCTCCCGGCGTGCCTGATTACCGAGCTGCAGATATACGCGAGTGTCCCCCAAT